CCAATCAGGGTCCTATAGGTTGTTTATTCCAACACTACTTCAAATTATAAAAACAGTCAGTGGTCTCAACACCCATCAATAAGGGAAAGGTTGTATAAACTGTGGTCCCTCTGCACTATAGAACATTCTACAGTGGCTACTAACCCTGAGCACCGCTCACCCAGAGTTACTGCCCGTGATAAACTAATCAAAACCACAAGCTGCGGAGTAAGGTGTGCAGCATGAATCCATTCTGTGAAAGAAGCAAACCTTTACAAGGACCCCTGGGTGACTCAGTCGGTTAAGCGTCTGCCTTCGGCTCAGGTCATGATCCCAGGGTCCTGGGATCGAGCCCTGCATCGGGCTCCCTGCTCAGTGGGGAGTCTGCTTCTCCCTCTCCTGTTCCTCCTCCCCCTGCTTGTGCTTTCTCTCTCGCTCTCTCAAATAAATAAAATCTTTAAAAAAAGGAAGAAGAAGAAGCAAACCTTTACAGGTCCCTGTGTCCATACGACACAGAGGGATGGAGGGGGGACCCCTGGGCTGCAGGCCACCCACACTGCTAACTCCTCCGGGTGGAATGGGAAAAGGATGAGCTGAGAAACAGAAACAAACACCCCTTCAGTGCGGGCCTCCCCCAGCACCACCCAGTCCCTCTCCTTCAAAGCTTGTCTACACTCAGCATGGCCAGATCTGCACTCCTGCAACTCCTCCGCCCATTCACTACAATCTGGCTTCTACACCAACACCCCAGCAGAACAGCCATAGCTAACGTGCTGAGTGTCCCCCTTGTCACTTCCCACAGCAACAACAGCCACCACCGGCCACTCCCTCCTACTGAAGTGGACTCGCCCTGGCTCCTGCGACCTCACACTGTCCGGTTCTTCCTTCCCCTTCATGGACTGCTCTTTTTCTAGCTCCTTCCTGGGCTCACAGTTCCTTTACTCAGCTGTTCAAGGTGAGTTCTTCAATCTCATCATGTCCTTTATAGCAGATACAATGTCTTTATAGCAGATAAAAATGTCTCCCTAGCCCAGACACAGCTGCCTGCTCGGTTCCCCAATGGCACCTCAAATGCTCCATGTCCAAAACTGAATTCACGATCATGATCTTGCCCACCCTCCAGACCTGGTTCTCATCCAGTATCCCATGTCTCTGGGGAATCCAGGCAGACAACCTAGGGTGGGTGGGGTGGACTGGTGCTTTTGTGCACGTAGCATAGGGCCTGGCAAACAGTGGGTACTCATTAATGTTGGTTCAACAGAAACATGCCTTGTCACCCACTTCCTAAAAATAGCCGTGACCTTTTAGGTGAACATGACAAACTCACATCTGCTATCACCAGCACCCCCCCCCCCCCACATTAACACCCTTCCCCGCCCAGAGATGCCACTCCCAGGCTTAATCTGCTACATGCTCCCCCTGCCCAGCTAAGCCCCTCTGGGTTTCTCCTCTCCACCTTCATTCCAATTCATCTCAGCTCATGATCCTCCCAGCCAGCCTCCCCCCGAAGCTCCAGGTGACAAAGGCTAGGGACACCAGACTTCCCTTGCAATTTCAGGAGCAATTCTTCCCTTCTTTTCTGCTGAGGCAGTGGGACTTTCAGGAGCACAAGCCCCTGGAAGATCAGACACTAAGGGATCACAGAGCCAGGTGTCAGCCATCTGCACACTCCAGCCCATCTCAAGGGTTCTTGCAGTAATGCACCCAAGAGATTAACATTGTCATGATCACACCCTGACTGATCTTAAACCCCCTCTGCAAACATCTCACCAGATTCTGCAAACAACCATATGAGGTAGGCATTTTACCATCCAGAACACTAGGACCCTGTGTGGCTCCACAACTTGTCCCAGTGACCCAAAATGGATGAGAACTCTTGATTCCTGAGTCCTCGGTTGCCCTCACCCATTACTTTCTCCCATCAGCATGTTCGAGTTACTGTTAGGGCCCTATGTACTGTTAGGATCCTCCCAAATTCAAACCACCGGCTGACATCAGACCCTCATTTCATGCGGTGCTGGGGCCAGGGTCAGCAGGCCTACTGCGGTGCGTTTTCAGCCATTATTAGAAAGCTCCACTGAATTTCAACAACTCCTTGTGAAATTGCAAATTCCCAACAAAGAAACTTCAGTTTCTTCATTTCCCCTAAGAGCTTTCCTATCCAGGATCACTCAAATTCCTGATGCACCAGGGGACAATGGCATCAGTAGGTGTTGTAGGGAAAAGTCCAGAAAGACCTGAGTCTGCCTGCTTGGCTGGGACTGTGAAGGACACCAGCACACAGACTCTTCCCCGAGTGCCCCCCGCCATGGGATCAAGTGCCAGAAGCTGCCTCAGGCTTAAGGAGAGAGGAACGAAGGAGGTGAATCCAAGAGGAAGGAGGGAGAGAGCTCTAGAAAGGCCCTGGGTTCTCTGCACAGATCCCCAGCACTCGGTGCAGATTTCCTTTCTACATTCACTTCCTGCCTACACCGGCTTTTTGTCTCTCTGTACTGCAGTGAATTCCCAAGAACCCACACTAACCTATTCTGGCTGGATTCTTAACTCCTGTCACTCCAAACTACCCATCCTCCCCAGAATCACATGAGCAAGGCATCACTAATTGATCTTGGCCTTCTAGGTACAGCAATCCAGGGTGGGCCCTATCTGTTACCCTTGCCCTGGCTCCATAAGGGAATCAAAGGGGCCTCTCAGGCAGCCCCTACTGCCACCTCTCAATCTGGACTATTTCCATCTCAGGCTCTCTTTTGTTGCCTACTCAAACCCAGCCTTCAAGGTCTAAGATCAAGGAAAACCTTACTTTCTGGGCCTGCCTCTTATGCGCAGTGAAATTCTGCTGAGCACATATATTAGGCAAGGCCTGTCCTGGGTGCTGTGAGACCAGGAGAGGAGTAAGAAACAGCCCCTGCCGTCCAAAGACAATGGACAGGGCAGAGATAAGACACGTGGCCATACAAATACTAAGCAAGGCAAGTAGGGAGAAGTGATGCCAAAGGAGTGGAGGAGGAGGGCTGCGTGGGCTCAGAGTATGTCTTGTCCTTTCCTCCTAGGAGCAGGCCCCTGGATGGCTCCCAGGAGGGTGGGGAATCATGGGCAGAGATAGGGGAGGAGGGCATTCCAGGAGGGCAGAACAACATGAACTACAACAGAGGAACTAGCAGGAGAGCAGTTCAATTTGGACCTCCAGCTGCAGGAAAGAAACGACAGCTATTATTACTGTATTATTATTGTTGACACTTCTGTCCCAGGCCCTGCCGTAAGCTTTACCCCATGTGGATGACATCCACCTAAAGCACACAGGTATGGCCTAACAGTCACCATTTCAGCTCAGTGCCTGGGCTGTATGGTTGTAAAGTATTAACTCATTTAATCCTCACAATGCCCCATCACGTAGGTATTATTACCCCCACTTTAAAGATGAGGAAACCAAGGCACAGAGACTAGTAAGAGATAAGACTATGGAGGGATGCAGGATCCTGAGGTACTGAGCACCCAATGCCAGGGGCAACAGACTTCCCTGGCACCTCACCAGATCTGTCTTGTCAGGGACCACCTAGAAGCACAGGAGTGTGCCTTGAGGAAAGGAGCACTGTTAATCTTCCTGGAATCCCCAACAATGGATTGAAGCAAGGAAGGAATGAAGGAACATAATGAGAGCCATTTAGGAGTGAGCAAAAGAACACACCCTGCCTGTCCAGCTCCTGGACCCAGCCTTGCCCTCCCCTGCAAGCTTTTGTTCCTGTTGTGGGAGCAGGGAAGAGGCTCATCCCTGGTCAGGGCAGCCAGAAGTAAAGCGTGGGGGAGAGGGGATCGGGAGAGAGAGCAGAGTGGCTGGATACCTTGGATACCCAAAGCAAAGCAAGGTCACTGATGGGGGGGAGCGGAGAGAAATGTCCCTGGGGACCAACTGTAACTTGCTTGGGCTAGAACAGGCTAGCTTAACTTCTCTCCTCGGAAGGGGAACTTTGCAACTGTCCTTTAAACCAATAAACTGGGTTTCTGCCCTTTTAAGCCTTCATCAGGCTAGGTGGAGCCCAGGGAGAGAGAAGAGTTCAAGAATCCCTCCCTGAAACTGTAGCTCAAGGGGAAAGTCAGAGAGGGTAAACACACAGGTGAACACAGAGCCCGGGATGGTTCCGCATTCTCTCAAAGGGCCTTACAAATAATCTCCAACAGCAGCAGCTCCCAGGATTTGCGTCCTCCCGGTTCAGGAGGAAAGTTCATGAAGCCAGCCTCCTCTGCGAGCTCTCCTTAGCACAGGCCGGAAGGGCACCTACACTCTCGAGAACTCGGCTGGGTCAGAGGGGCCCGGGCCACCGGCCATCCCCATAGCAGCCAGTCGCCTTCTGGTCGCAGGTTCACCTGGTCGCAAGTTCACCCAGTCGTCCCACGCCCACCCAGGAGGGGCTGAACCCCCGACCCCAGCCGCGCAGCACAGTCACGAGGCCCTGGCCACAGGGGGCCGGCCTGTGCACCGCCCACCCCACAGGGAGGGCAGCCCCCCGCGGCCGATCGAGCCAGGGCAGCCGGGCCGACGCAGCCCGTCGGGACCCAGCCCGACAGCCCGACACCACCATCCCCACCCCCACCCCCCAACCGCCGTGCCGCCGTGCAACCTGGAAGCCGCAGGGCCGCGGCGGGAGCCGGCGCCGGGCGGTCCGGGGCTCACCGGCCGGGCCGCGGCGCTCTGCCGCCACCCGGTCCCTTGCCGCCGCCCCGCCCCGTGCCTCCGGCGGGCCGGGGAGCCCTCACTTACCGGGCCACTGGCCACTGACCACAGGGGTGGGGGCCGCGAGGGGCGAACGGGGCCGCGGGCAACGGCGGCTATCTCCGCGGGCGTCCCGGCCCCGGCGCCTCGGTCGGCCTGGAGCTCTGTCCCACTCCGGCTCTCGGGGCACTCGGCGTACTCCTCGAGCGTCGCAACCGTCAGGGCCGGGCCGGAGGAGGAGCCCGCCGGGCGGAAAACTCGGCGGTGGCCCAGCGCGCCCCGGGGCGGAGCCTCTCGCGCTGGGGGCAGGGCGGGGCGAGGGGTGGGGCCGGAGCGCGGTCCCGCCCCCAGGTGATTGCCTGGAGGGCTAACCCGCAGAGAGACGCTTCCTGGGGCGCGGGACTAATCGCAGGCCTTCTGGCGCTGTTGGACCGGGAGGGGATTCCGCCGGTGCCGGGAGGTCGGCGAGGAGCCCCCCGCTACGCCCGCCTCCTCCGTCAGTCGCGCCCTGAGCCGCGTTCTCCGGGTGGGTATTCCCCAAGCCCCCTCCAGCCCTGTGTACCATTGTTAGCGACTCTCCTTCAGGTAAAGAGGGCTTTCCACAATAGGAAGGTCATGCAACAGTATGGAGGTGGGGGTGGGGAGAGTAGCTTTATAGTGGAGAGACCCGACAAACTACCTTAGCTAAGTGATCAAGGTCAACGTCCAGAGAGATAAATCATTAGTGATACGATGTGCCCATGTGGTCTTCCTCCCAAGAATATAGCCAAGAAAAGCCTAAGGAGATAGGAAAATAATGTAGTGTGGCATCCTGGAGGGGATCCTGGTAAAAGGACATTAGAGAAAAACTAAGGAAACCTAAATAAACTATGGACGTCAGTTAATAATAAAGCATCACTATTGGCTCCTTCACAGTAGCAAAAGCACCATGCTAATAGGAAATGCTAATAATAGAAGAAACCAAGTGTTAACTTCTCATTTTTTCTGTAAATATAAAACTATTCTAAAAGAGTTTATTTTTGGAAAAAAAAAAAAAAGCTCGCACGGGTAATAAATGAATATATGGTAGTTTAAAAGCAGTTTTTAGAAACCGAGATTCACACTTTACTCTTCCAGCTCACTTTTAGGTGTGCCCTTCCAGATCTTTCTCTCTGCAGCACTCTATGTGTGTATATACTCACCTAGATGTACTGTTTAAAACGGTGTTGCAGTATTTTTCTGCGACATGCTTTTTTACTCACTACATCTTGGAGGGTCTTTCCTTGCAAGCGCACCTTGTTCTACTTGGTTCTTCCCAAGGACCCAAGGGGTGCGCAAACGTGCGTGTCACCTAGGTCCTTAGGGAAGGACATTTCGGTTGCTGTCGGTTTGGGGCTATTGCGAACAGCACTGCTGGTCCTATTTCCATTTTCAGAGCGCACAGAGAGGGAGGGACTGGGGTGCTGTAGGTCCAAGGGGAGATTCTGGGTAGGGTTGGTGGTGCCGGGCGGAAGCCGCGCCCTCCGCCAGCCAGTCGCCGCCCGACTACGAACCTCGGGGACCCAGTCATTTTCCGCGGCCTGTGCAACACCGCTGTCCCCGCAAAGGCGCGGCCCTTTTTCGGGGCTGAACTGCATTTTTCAGCGATGAGTGGGCGGATGAGAGTGAAACTCAAGCCAAAGGCTCCAGTGCGACTCGGAGGAAATGCCCCGCCCCCACCCCCAGCAGAAGACGAGCCAAGGGTCAGTGGCACCAGGAGACTCGGCCAGGCTTGGGTATTACCGCGGTGGGGGTGCCCGCGGCGCATCAGGAGCGGGCGTCGGAGCGAAGCCCCCGCCGAGCCCGCGGCGCTCCTCCGAGAGAGCGTCTGTCGCCTGGTGCGCCCTGGGCTGGGGGCTTCGTCGGGGAAGGTCACACCTGGCGCCCACCCAAGCCTCTGCTTGGACACCCTGCGCCGGCGCCGCCCGTGCCGCGGCTCCCGGCGGCCTCAAAGGCAAGCTTCTTTGAATGGCTCACTTTTTCCGTAGATGAGCTATTGCTTCCTTAAATACCACCTTAAAAAAAATAAATCAGTAGGGGCGGAATTCCTTCTGCGTGTAGCACACACTTTCCTACGTCAGGACTGAGCTCTTCAAGGCCCAGGATGGGGGATAGTTACCACTGTGCTCACCTTTCTGTGACTTTCAACCATTTATTTTTAACAAACGTCATGTTGAGCTCCGACTCGGTTGGGACACTTGTGTCGGGGAAAAGTTTGGTCCGCAAACACCTGGGTCCTGTCACTTGGAAGTTCTTTGAGCCTCGGTGTTCTCGCTTAGAAAATCTTCCAAATGATCTATGAAAATCTGTAAAGTGACCACTGCTTCATCGTTGCTAGGGGCTGATGCAAACATCAGATGAGGTAAGGGGAAGCGAGTGCCTTGTAAACCGGTCAGGTGCTTCAGAGCTCTGAGTAGCACAGGACCTTTATAATCTTTCTTATGTTGAGTCATTGTACAGACAGTGTTTGAGTACAGGCAATGTGACCGGCCCTGTGCTGGGTGCCCCAGAGACAGGGACAAAAGAAAACTCCTTTGCTCTAAACACAGTTCTTCTCTAGTGGAAAAACAAATAAATCGCAAATACCTCACAAAATACAGGCTTGTAAAAAGGATCCTTGGGGGGGCGCCTGGGTGGCTCAGTCGTTAAGCGTCTGCCTTCAGCTCAGGTCATGATCCCAGGGTCCTGGGGTCGAGTCCCACATCGGGCTCCCTGCTCAGCGGGAAGCCTGCTTCTCCCTCTCCCACTCCCCCTGCTTGTGCTCCTGCTCTCGCTGTCTCTCTCGCTGTCAAATAAATAAATAAAATCTAAAAAAAAAAAAAAAGGATCCTTGGGGTCAATGATGAGAGGGAAGTGTAGAGGACAGGATCCAGAAAGGCTGCTTCTGATCAGTCTGGCCAGACTTTACAATTGACTTTTAATTATTTTTATTTTTTTAAAAAATGTATTTATTTGTCAGAGAGCACAAGTAGGGGGAGTGGCAGGCAGAGGGAGAATCAGGTTCCCCGCTGAGTAAAGAGCCCAAAGCCAGCTCCATCCCAGGACCCTGGGATCATGACCTGAGCCAAAGGCAGACGCTTAACCAACTAAGCCACTCAGGCATCCCTATTTTTTTTTTTTTTTAAGATTTTATTTATTTATTTGACAGAGAGAGACACAGCGAGAGAGGGAATGCAAGCAGGGGGAGTGGGAGAGGGAGAAGCAGGCTTCCCCACAGAGCAGGGAGCCCAATGTGGGACTCGATCCCAGGACCCTGGGATCATGACCTGAGCCGAAGGCAGATGCTTAACAACTGAGCCACCCAGGCGCCCCCCCCTATTTTTTTTTTAAATCATGTTCATTCTTTTTTAAAAAATTATCTACTGCTTTCATTTCTGCTTTTATCTTTGTAGTTCTGTTCCTTCTTTCTTTGGATCTGCTCTGGTGTTCTTTTTCTGGTTTCTAGAGTTGAACATTTGGGTCACTTATTTTCCAGATCTTTCTGTTGTTGTTCTCTGATAAATGTATCTAAGACTAGAAATCTCCCTCTACATCCTGCTTTAACTACAAATCACAAGTTTTAACATGTCATGCTTTTGTTATCTCTCAGTTATAAATATTTTGGTTTTTTTTTTTTCTATTAGGATTTTATCCTTAATTCATGGATTATTTAGAAGCATGTTTCCATGGTTTTTTAAAAAACATTTTGTCATAGATTTCTAATTTTAATGCTTAGAGATTTTTGGAATTTGGTGAGACCTCTTTGTGGCCTGATAGACTTTTTTTTTTTTTTAATGTCCCAGTTTTTGTGAATGCACAAGCTTCTTTCTATATGTTTCTCCATCCAGTTTGCTAACCTAGTTATTTAGCTTGTTTATACCCCAGGTTTTTTTCTGTTCAAGCCGTTGATTTCCGAGAGGGTTGATTTAACGTTTTCTACCTTTATTGTGCTTTGCCAATTTCCCCCTATAATTTGATCTCATTTTGCCTTATAATTTTGAGGACAAATTATTAGGTTCACACAAGTTCATAATTGGTTTATCTTTTGATGACTTATCTTCTTTTATCACTTTTCTCCTTAAAAAATTGCCTGCTCTTTAATATTGCTATCTAAGATAGTATTTGTCTGGTATATGTTTTTCCTCTCTTGTTTTCAAGCTTTACTGTTCTTTAGGTTCATCTCTTGGAAATAACACAATTTTTTAACAATTTTTAAAAAGTTCATCTGAGTATCTGCTTTTAATTGGTGCGTTTAGTTTATTTTAATAATGATTACAGAAATTTTTGGACTTATCTCTGCCCCTTTTTAGGAGATACACACATATACACACACGGGGGCATGCACGCACACACATACACTCAAGGCTGATATTCACCTAAAACACATGCTAAAATGCTGTAAATTGTAAAAAATCAAAATTCTTTCATCCTGTTTGGTAAATAGTGGTTGCCTTGAGACCTCATAGTACCCCCACCCATGATCTTCCCCTGATCTAGGAACAAAAGGGGCAATACTTATCACAGGGGGCCCTCCAGCACCTTTTTCAAGTCTCTTATTAGTTAGTAAAGGGGCCAGGCAGGTGGATTAATATTTTGACTATCATGTGAAATACGCTTTCTCTTTGTTTCTTTTTTCTCTTTTCCTACTTCCATTTGGAATGTTTGAATTTTCTTTGTTTAATAGAGAGGTAATACTAGAATTAAAAAGATATGAATAAATAGCTGTTTATTAGACACCTTTACCAGAATATCCCTCATAAAACCCAAATTTATAATGTCAAAAAGTGAACTAACCATCTTTCCCGCTCAACCTGCTTTTTCTCTTGGATTCTGTATCTCAGCTGAGATACCACTGCAGGGCCCCTCACTTCTACGGGTTCTTCATGGCAGAGGCTTAGCACACTTTTCTGTGGTCCAATGTTTTTGTAGAGTTTGCAAAAGTAAGCTATTTTGAATACAAACAATTAAGACATCTGGCTCTTTTTATCCTGAGTTCCCTAAAAACCCCTCACAGCAGAGGGGCCGTAGGTATTTTTGGGATTTAGCTAAAAAAAGGGGAGCTGGGGTTTCGCTTAGTTAGGGTTTAGTAGGATATGTTCATACCATTTGCAGTCACTTCTGTGTGTGGTTACGTTACTGCTCATCTTTCAATGTAGGAACGGTTTCTAGGAATATGGCTCTGATTCAGCCAGAAGAGCCAGAGATGTTCAATAATAAACATGTCCTATAGCACCTGTTTTCAGAAATATGTAGGCAATGAAGGAGAAACAAGATTTGATATGTTTGGAACCAGAAACCAGTCTATGGAAAATTCTTCCAACGATTGTATGTATGAAGTTTTAAGCATGTAAGTCTATTCTCATCCAGGCCCATTTATTTTTTGTTTTGTTTTTTATTTTTTATTTTCTATTTTATTTTTTTTTTTAAGATTTTATTTATTTTTCAACAGAGAGAGAGAGACAGTGAGAGAGGGAACACAAGCAGGGGGAGTGGGAGAGGGAGAAGCAGGCTTCCCGCTGAGCAGGGAGCCCGATGTGGGACTCGATCCCAGGACCCTGGGATCATGACCTGAGCTGAAGGCAGACGCTTAACGACTGAGCCACCCAGGCACCCCTTGTTTTGTTTTTTAAAGATTTTATTTATTTATTTGAGAGAGAGAGAGAGAGAGAGCATGTGAGCTGGAGGAGGAGCAGAGGCAGAGGGACAAGCAGATTCTGCGCTGAGCATGGAGCCCAACGTGAGGCTCTATCTCATGACCCTGAGATCGTGATGTGAGCCAAAATCAGGAGTCCGTAGCTTAACTGACTGAGCCACCCAGGCACCCCTCATCCACACCCATTTAAAATGGAAGCCCTCCCATAGGGAATATACTTGATAAGGCAACAAATGCAATGATTACATACAAACATATAGAAATAGATCTTTTTAAAAACAATTTCAGGAAATATATTTTACTAGCACTCTGTGTAATATGGCACCAACTGTAGGAGTGCTGCCTGTGTGTGAAATTAAATGCTTTCTGTATCTGACTGTATCACATCTTAACTTATATCATGTGGTTTATACTGATAGAGTCTATAAATTCTAGATGCACAGGCCAAGAAAGATGAAATTTTATTATGACTTTTTATGAACTACATCAGCAAGAATAACACAAAACTCAACTTACCACTACAATAAGAATATCCATGACAAGCTGGCAAATACCCATACCAATTAAAGAAATGTTTAAGTTTAGACAAGAAAACTTAAATGCCCAGAAATCTCATTACCCACACATGAAACTTGCTAGAATTATTTCCAACTTTGACAATAGTGATACAAATATACAGTGTAGGGAAGGAAAAATTCCTCTTCTACCTTTCAAGTTCTTCCAGTTGGACTAAGAATTTTTTTAATATGTATTCTTTTTTTTAAGATTTTATTTATTTGCAATAGAGCGAGTGAGCAAGAGAGCACGAGTGGGGGGAGAGGCAGAGGGAGAAGAAGAAGCAGGCCCTCCACTGAGCAGGGAACCTGACCCGGGGCTTGATCCCAGGACCCTGAGATTATGATCTGAGCCAAAGGCAGACACTTAACTGACTGAGCCACCCAGGTGCCTCTGGGATTAAGAATTAAATTTACATGAGACAGGTTAATAGGAGAAAAAAAAAGACAGTTTTATTATGTGCACACAGAGGCCCAATATTGAAATTGAGCCCTGAAGAAATGACCAAGGCAGGCAGTTTTTATACTTTTTAGACAAAGAGATGATACATTTCTGAGGAATTGACAGGATAAAGAAAATAGTGGAGAGCTTCGATTAGGAAGAAGTTCTAAGCAGATTTGGGGCCGAGATAGTAAATTAGTAAAAAAATAATAGGGTTTGTTTCTACAGCTTTCTTGGCTTTAAAATTCCTATCTGGTGATAAGGATGTCTTTTTACTTCTTAGTGTAGGGAGGGTACCTTTTGTATGGGAGATTTGTTTCCTGCTTTTGGGAGGGGCTGAGTGTCTTGCGCCTGCTTTTTCCCAAATAGCCTCAATTCAAAATAATCAATACACCATTTGGGTATATTTCGGGCAGCCTGCCCCTGGCCCTTACGACATGATACTACCAGCAGTATTAATTGTTCGCAGCTCAAATAGCTTACTTCTGCAAATTTTACAAAACCATCTGACCATACTGGAAGAAGACTGAGGTCTCTTTCTATTCTACTAAAGAAAACCAATACTGGGCGCCTGGGTGGCTCAGTTGGCTGGGTGACTGCCTTCGGCTCAGGTCATAATCCTGGAGTCCCGGGATCGAGTCCCGCATCGGACTCCCTGCTTGGCAGGGAGTCTGCTTCTCCCTCTGACCCTCCCCCCTCTCATGCTCTCTCTATCTCATTCTCTCTCAAATGAATAAATAAAAATTAAAAAAAAAAAAGAAAACCAATACTATTAGAAAATCCTCCCTATCTATAGATTTTTCTTCCTAAATATTTCTTGCATCTGACCCCTACTTTCCATTGGTTAAGTACCACTGTTCTAGTTTTCAGGCCCTTATGATTTCTAGCCTGGACTCCACAGGAGCTTTCTATTTTTTTTTTTTTTAAGATTTTATTTATTTATTTGACAGAGAGAGACATAGTGAGAGAGGGAACACAAGTAGGGGTAGTGAGAGAGGGAGAAGCAGGCTTCCCGCCGAGCAGGGACCCCGATGCGGGGCTCGATCCCAGGACTCTGGGATCATGACCTGAGCCGAAGGCAGACATCTAACCACTGAGCCACCCAGGCGCCCCTGCAAGAGCTTTCTAACTGGTCTTACTGGCCCCCAGTCTCATGCCCCTCAGATCTGCCCCTCACATCCGACTGTGTCACTCCTTTAGGACCATCATGCTCCCCAGGATAAGGTTAAGCTCTTAGGCTGACACATAAGACCATACCCTGCCTCTTCTTTTGCAGTACATGCAACTCTTGCCTCTCTCAAAATGCCAGCTTGCTTGTAATCCATCCTCCCCTCCATACCATGTCATGTCCCCATACCTTTGTTCATCTAGTCCCCTCAGCCTGCAATATCCTTCTCTTCACTTTTCACCTTGGTTGCTCCTACTCATCCTCCAAGACTCTGCTTAATTTTCATCTTTTCCGGAAGCTCTCGGACTTCCTCCTTCAAGATAGGGGACTGAGCACGTGCTGTAGTCTATCTCCTCAGCCCCAAGCTCCAGAAATTTCAGGAAAGAAAGAACTGGTATTTTTAAAGAAGATGACAAATAAGTCTTGGAGAATTAGAAGCACTGAAGAATTTCTGAGAACTTGAAAGCAGACAGAGTGAGATATAACACTTCAGCCTAGCACATGAGCACCTAGTACATATATCCTTGAATGTGTGTACTATACTACCTACTACAAAAGCAGGACCAGCAACAAGGACACTCCATGCCTGAGGTAGAGGAGGCCTGGGACAAAAGGCAGCTAACAGGTTACTGATGGGAAGGTGAGCCACACTCACTGTAGGAGCAGCTAGATGAGTAGACTCCTGAACATTTCCTTAAACCCCACCCTTGAAGACAAGATGGCCAAGGCGGGAGTGTTTGTCTCCACATATGAGGGAGTGAAAGACAGGGCAAGGCCCAGAGGGATGGCAAAGCCAAGGAGAAAAGGGTAGCCGCTAAGCCCCAAAGACCAAATACAAGAGCATCCACCCAAGGGTCCACCCTGCCCATCTTGCCCATCCTGCCCATTCTGAGTGTGTGGAACACACATATGCAAAGTGGTTTTCATCCCTCCATCAGAGGGAGTTATGCAAACAGATGTTCTGCAGGAAATTGCATGGGCAGACATGAGTTCACTGCCAAAAAATTAAATACCATTTGAGAAGCACCAATCCACGAAAGAAAGATTTATAACTAAAGAAACATAATAATCATTGCTAATATTTACTGAGCATTTATGTGCCAGGCACTATTCTAAACACATTGCATATGTTAAGAAACTTGAACCTGACCAGAAATCTTTTCGGGTAGGACTATGTTTATCCCCTTTTACAAAGGAGGAAGCTAAGGTGTAAGTGATTAAGTAACTTGCTGCAAAGCTATACAGCTTAGTGCACAGAGCCACAATTCTGCCAACCCAAGCTGTCTGCCTCCAGATTCCAAGATTCAACAAAGCAAATAAGGCAACAGTACTGAGCTTTGAAGTAAGTATAATTAATATTCTCAAACAAGAGGAAATGAAAAAGAACCAATTAGAGATGTTAGAAATGAAAAAATATAATTATAATTAAAGAAAGAAAACCACCCCAAGTATATGAGCTAAGGGGTAGAATGTATGTAGCTGAAGAGCTAGTGACCTAACAGATTGGACCAAGCAATTTTCCCTGAAAACAGAAAGGGATAAATAAATATAAACCAGAAAAGAAAAGATAATAGACATGGAAGAGAGTTCCAGAAGAGCCACCATCCATCCATCAGGTGTTACAGAAAGAGACTAGAACAATGGATGTGTCCAGTGAAACGTGGTTGATTGTCAACAATCTCTTTTCTCACCCTCCCCAAATCCTAATACCATGGCAATAAAGGAATAGCATAGGTGAAAACCTGCAAAGGCAAAAGGAATGAGAGAAGAAAATGGTGTGCAAAATTTCAACACTTTTTTTTTTTTTAATTATTTAAGTAGGTTCCACAACCAGCATGGAGCCCAATGCGGATCCCAAACACACGACCCTGAGATCAAAACCTGAGCTGGGTATCAAGAGTCAGACGCCCAACCAACTGAGCCACCCAGGCACCAGGCACCCCCAACAATGTTTTGAAGACCGAAAACATATGGTGGAGTGGTAATTGACTTGGTAGAAAAGCGGACGCTTTACCTTGGGTGCCCCAGAGGGAGAAATCAAGGAGAAGCAGCTGATTCTCCCCACCCACCCCCAGAGTCAGCAAGGCTTAGCCTTACAGATGGAAGGTAGAGTATGAGGATGCAAATGGGAACAGGGATGTGGGTAGAAACCCTAGTCACTTTCCCTAGCCCCTTCAGCAGAAGTTCCCTCTACCTGTGGAGAAAGAACACTTGTCATATAAGTTGAACTATGGAGACTGCAGAATAGGATATGTGAAGCACAATGAATTTGGGAGGAGGAGGTAGGGTATGGGTCTACACAAAGATTAAGCAAAAATCTGCATATTGAATCATGGGACCCTAGTCCCCAGGAGGTGATAAACCTGATTCAAATTCATAAGCAGGGAACTGGAGGTTTGACCTCCAGTGATAAAACAATCCTTTTAAGAGATATCCTCCAACCTTAGGGGATTTATAGAAAATGAGCAGCCCAGACAAATGTCCTCCAATGACTGATAGTTACTGGTTCTCTCAATGCAAAGCTGACTGATGGCTTGAACACCCTGCAGTGAACACCATCAGTCAACAAGCCCCACTGCCACGCAGAGATTCCAGTCATTGTTTTGTGCCTCATCCCTAACTGTGAATATCCAACTTAGGATCACCAGCCTGAAAGGAAGACCTCCAGAGAGAGTGACCAACCAGCCTGGTTTGCCAGGGGCAAGGGCGTTTTTCAGAACACAGGACATTCATTACTGAAACTGGAGAGTCTCTGGCCAACCAGGATGAATTGGTCACCCTACTCCAGCATGTGTAAGCAAGATCCATAGCTTGGCTTTTGCTTAATAGTTTGCAAACCTGACCTACTTGCCCAGCTCACAAGCTGTGAGCATAGTCATCTGCTATAATTTATAGGGTCTTGTGGTAAAATCTGCCAAAAATTGTATTAAATGGTTTGTGACTTTTGCAGATCCTTTTCCAGCCTTTGACATGATACGTAGGGAAGGATATGGACTACGCTAGGTGTCAAAGATAGCTCCTCTAATTTTTAGTTTTATCTTTAATCACTTGAGACCACATTTGGATGGGCTATATATATGTTTTCCTGCTGAACTCAGTGCAGCTCCCCAGCTAATGCTCGTTCTGGAGGGTCAGTGTCTGTGCCAGGCAAGTCATGAAATGTGGTATCACCATGCCATCCTTGCCCTTTACCGGAGAACAGAAAGCTAAGCATTCTCCAGGATGCAAATTACCTGATTTTGATATCATGGACTCAGAATAGTCTTTTTTTTTTTTTTAAGATTTATTTATTTATTTTAGAGAGAGAGAGCACGAGTGGGAGGGGCAGAGAGAGAATCTCAAGCAGACTCCGTGTTTAGTGCAGCGGAGCCTGACATGGGGCTCAATCCCATGACACGGAGATCAGGACCTGAGCCGAAACCAAGAGTCGGATGCTTAACCGACTGCACCACCCAGGCGCCCCTCAGAATGGTCTTAATAGACAATCGATACTACCATCTTATTACCTCCAGAAACAAGGACTACCAATTCTGGATCTGAAGCAATCATTTTAAGAGATATCCTCCAACCTTAGGGGATTTATAGAAAATAGTTATGAACAGAGAGCTACCTTGTTCGGTTACTTTGGGAGTGCATTCCACAACGTTTAACTAGCAGGGCCTGCTGTTCAAAATGAGATGTGCTGCAGGTATTTGCCTGTGTGGCCAAATAGGCCCTGTGGTTACACACCTGCTTTCCTGTTTCTCCAGGCTGATTTTTATCGCCATTGCACAGTATGAGGTGGAACTGTGGGGCTTCAGTTACCTGCCTGTGGCATTCTTAGAGAACTCTCCAGGTTTCTCCTAAAGCAATTCTTGGCTCTACCAGCAGGGACTCCCTTGACGCACTTTGGAGGGGATGTGTGTTGGCCTTTGCTTTAGGAACATGTGCTTCCTGGCCCCTGAGTTTTCCTCAGAGGATTGAATTGAAGTCCCGGTTGAGTTTATTATTAAGGCATGTGGCTCACTTCTTAAATGGCAATGGAAAGTACCAACATTCCAAGTCGAATTTCAGCCCTAGAGCCACAATGTACTTTTTAAAAGTTTGGCCAAAAGAAATGCTGTTTTGGACAAGTACCTATGAAGTATGTGTTGTTTTTTTTTTTTTTAAGATTTTATTTATTTGTGAGAGAGAGAATGAGAGACAGAGAACATGAGAGGGAGGAGGGTCAGAGGGAGAAGCAGACTCCCTGCCGAGCAGGGAGCCCGATGCGGGACTCGATCCCGGGACTCCAGGATCATGACCTGAGCCGAAGGCAGTCGCTTAACCAACTGAGCCACCCAGGCGCCCTGAAGTATGTGTTTTATTCAATCTCTAGACACATATTCTTAAATGTATATATGTTACCAATTCAGCTGGAGCAGCGCAGTTGTGTGCTTGAGTGCCTCCCATGGCTTCTTAAAGATGTACTTCTAGTGGATTATGTTTTGGTTGGTGGCCCTCAATCTATACTGAGGGACATTATGCAAAATATGGCTTTGAACATTGACCCCCTGTCTGTTGCAGGGATGTCATTGAGCGTGATGCTTGTTATGTCCATAGCGACCTCTCCAAGAGGACAACTTGTAGAAACGAATGTATTATTTGGTCTCACTATCTGGAATAGTTGCCTTTTTTTTTTTTTAAAGCAACCTGCAAATACTCTGGATCTTATAATAGGTCCTATTTCCCTCTCCCTATCTGCTGCTAGGGTCTTAGAGCTAAGCTGATAAAGAACCATGAGACTGTACAAAGGGGACTAATCACTCAGGTTGGCACCGTTGGTGAAATGGAATCAGAGCATGGGGTGTTGGCAAGGAGCTCTAGAGGCTGTGCCTACCATCTTGAGTGTCAGGGAATCCCCTCCCTAGAGGAAGTTTGGAGACCAACATACATTTCTCCAAACCAGTCTTATAGAAGTGCCTGCAGATTATCCCTCTCACACAGAGTTGGGGTTAGGACAGGTATAGTAGGGTGATGACACGGGAGAGAGGCCTATCGAGTCTTCTGTCCTCCCTCACTAGCTGTCTGTCTTTTATCACACATGGCATGGTTGGAAATGAATGGGCACCATATATGAAGTCAAGCGCCATGTGTTTCCCAATGCTGCACCCATCCCGGTCTCCAGATCTACGTACTTTCTGCCCCCAACATTCACTTCCGTTATGGGAGCCAGGGAAACAGTATACTCTAGATATTAAAAGTGTAGCTCTGGAGTCAGAGGGCCAATTTCAAATCCTTCCCCCATGCTCACTAGCTGAGTGGCCTTGGGTAAGAAATGTAGTCTCATGATCTGTATGACAGGAACCAAAACACTGCTGGCCAAACACAGTTGTTATGACAACACATTATATAACTACTGTGAATCATCTAGCACAGAGCTTGACGCAGCAATAGATGTTTGCTATGCAGAAATTCATCATGGTGGTTAAGAGTTTGGGCTTTGGGATAGGATGTATGAGTGTTCAAATTCCAACTCTTCCTGGGCCAGCTGTGAAATGTTGGGCAACTTTCCAACTTCTTTAGTCCTTAGTTTTTTTCATCTGCAAATGGGACTAATAATACACATGAAACTCTTGACACACCACTTCCTATGAAGAGCGTGTTCCATAAATGATAGCTCTACTTTCCTGTTATTTTACTGCCACCCCAGGGGAGAATACAGCTCAAGCTAAACAGGCAGGAGGAAGTGCCTAAGAGAGATTCTCCAGAGCTGCCAACCCTTTGGTAGCAGGGGAACTGATCTCCACCTCTGACATAGAGTAGTAACATAGCCACTTAGATTTATTGTTTTCTGTGTGCTAAGCAATGAGCTGAGAGTTTTCTATTTTTGTTTGACCCGAGATTAGGTATGGTGGATCTTTGGGGAGGCACAGGTACTTTCTCAGTATAGGTCCAATCAGGAGACAGAAACCACATTGGGGTTTAAGCAATGGGAGTTTGCTATAAATAATATTATGCTATAATAAAAGCATAATTATAGGATGTAAAGAGAACCCTCTAGGGCAACTCTCCCTACAGCTGAGAAAGGGAACCCAAGGAAGGGAATACAACCTCAGAAGGCGGCCACCTCTCAAGGCTGTGGGTCAGACCTTGTTGGAGAAGGTATCATGGCAGCCCCTTGGATGGTGGAGACATTTGCAGGTGCCTTGGCCTGAGCTGGTCTTCAGTTGCTAGACAAGTGTGAAGCAATCTGCCTGAGCACAGGTGAGTCACAACCTGGTGGTGGGATCTGTGGGCAGGTAGAGGGAGTCAGACAGCAGTGTAGGTGGGCGGCAAGGATCACACAGTGTCTGTGTTGGGAGGGTCGACGGAAGGTGATCACCAGGCTGGACAGGACTCTAAGGTATCTGGGGGACCTCTTGGACACATAGCTGGGGCAGAGCACCACAGGATGTCCGACACCTGCGAAAACCAGCGGCAGAAGCCCCTTCCTCCTGTGGAGTTCTCCCAGCACACTCTGCTGAGAAGGCTTACCAGTATGCTCACTGTAAAGGCAAGATGCTTATGGGGATTCTGCCCATTAGCACACAGCAGCTCTTTGCGGGTGAATTTGGAGCTGAAAAGTAATAAATTGATAACTAGCATAGACACATTAGGGGCATTTGAAGAAAGCTGAATACACACATGAATGGATCCATGTATTCATGCATGTGCACATATGTATACTAATCCACCCTGCTCAGGGGGTATACTACTCCTAGAATGTTCACAGACCCCAAGTGAAGAACACAATTCGTGGTTCCCTGGCGGCCACAAGAAAGCCTCCATAAGGCACTGAACTCTGTGGCAAGATGGAATGAAAGAACTGGCCATGAGACTTCTAAAATCCTGTCCTAGTTATGGAGGCTGACATTTCTTCCTCTTTCTCCACTCCCTTCCACATTGCTCATGGCACCCAAGGGAGACCTGAACCCTAGCAGGGCAAGCCCATTTCCCTTTTTTAAATTAAATTAAATTAAATTAAATTAATTTATTTATTTGAGAGAGAGAGAGAACACCAGCCAGGGGAGGGGCAGAGGGAGAGGGACAAGCAGACTCCACACTGAGCACAAGAGACTGACACAGGGCTCAATCCCAGGGCCCTGAGATCATGACCTGAGCCGAAATCAAGAGTTTGGACAAGATGCTTAACCAAATGAGCCACCCAGGTGCCCCAAGCCCATTTTCTTTTTGCATATTTATTTCTCCCAAAGCCTAACTAATCCGTCTGTCAGCTTGGGCACACAGAGGGCACTGTGCTCTGAACAGCAGGCTTCCTGGGTTCCTATTGAACAGACTCATGGACAGTCATTTTCCTCCACCAACTAAACACCAAGCTACTTGTCGATAGTGACAAACACCAGTTTTGATACTTTCTACTGTTTTTGGCATGGTAAGTGCCTACTCATGGCCCTGCTGGGAGTAAGGGCCCAGAAGCTGAAAATTCACCTCCCATTCTGCTCCAACCCCATCCACAGGGCCGGATGTTGGTAGTGGTCAGAGACCCTTGAAGAATGAAATCGATTCCCTTAGGTGTGCAAATGTTGTTTTTGTTTTTGTTTTTAAGATTTATTTATTTATTTGACAGAGAGAGACAGTGAGAGAGGGAACACAAGCAGGGGGAGTGGGAGAGGGAGAAGCAGGCTTCCCGCCGAGCAGGGAGCCTGATGCGGGGCTGGATCCCAGGACCCTGGGATCATGACCTGAGCCGAAGGCAGACGCTTAACGACTGAGCCCCCCAGATGCCCCAGTGCTCAAATATTATATGATGCATACATGGAACTCTGCCTCCATCCCACACCTACCAGAGTCAGAGGGGGCTCAGGAGCCTGTATATTCTGGATAAGACTGCCTTTCCCCCAGCCACATCACGTTCGGCAGAGTGAAGAAGGCCTCTGGAATTCCTCATATTGCTGTCAGGCCCCCCTCTCTCCTCCCCACACGTACTCCTCACCACCATTATTTGCCTTGAGAGCCTCAGGGTCCACCTCATTAGGGCTTTATCTCCATTTGCCTCAGTCCCTCCAAAAAACTCAGGCGCCCAGGCCATCCCTTATCTCCCAGACTTGAAAGCCCATATAGCTCCTTATGGCTCTCTCCACCCTTTTCCCCATAGCACCTGACATATAGTACAGCTGACCTACTTATTTGTTAGACTCCCCCGATTGAGGGCGGGGTGTCTTGGCTCTTTTGTTAACAGCTATACTCCCAACATCTAGAAGGCATCTGGCATATAGTAGGTGCTTATTAAATATATGGCAAAGGAATGCATGAGCAAACAAAGCATCTTTGATGCCCTCCGTTCTCTGGGACTCAGTGTCTACCACAGCCCCGTTAGTCTTGTTACTACCTTCCCATCAAGGGCCTAAACCACAGCCCTTCCCCCATACTGGCTTACACAACTCTCTAGCAATTTCAGAGCATGGGCTTTGGAGACACATGGGCTTGGAGACACACGGGCTCTGCCGTGTAGAGCTTTTTAGCACCTCTGTGCCTCAGTTTTGCTTACTTGTAAAACTGAGATTTTGTGGTCAAGTGGATTAAATGGAAGGTGTTTATAAAGGACTCAGCACAGCTCCTGGCCCCCAGTAAGTGAGCAGTAAAGGATAGCAAGCAAGCAGGGAGGCCGCAGAGCGGGGTTGGGAGGAGCAAGGAGCCTTCCTCTGTCGCTCCATCCTCGATGCGTTGGTAGGGAATGCCCAGAACCTTGTGCTAAAATGGATTCTGGGCAGGCCCTGGGCTCAGGGCGAAGGAGTCTGACAATTGATTAATGATGTCTGTCATGGGCATGGGTTCTTCAGGCAGCAAAAGGATGAAGGAAGTAGCGGACCCAGGCCACACATTTGCCATCCTGATCTACAATTTCCACCTCCTCTCCTTTTCTTTTGTACATCTTGACTACTTTCAAGGGTAAGAGCTCCTCTCTTTCCGGGAGCTCCTCCCTGACCTCAGAGTCCTTCACACACCCCCACCCTGAAAATGGTACGGTGTGCTCTTCTGAGCCCCCACACATTTTCTATGCTGTGCCTTTATTATTCACCATATAGCCTTTTGGGTTGTGTTTTAACTTTCAGATCTCCTGTCTGCATATATAGGCTGAAAAATGCCTTCAGGTTAGGTTTTGCCTTTGAGAACTAACTTGGTAAAACAGGGTGCATTGGATTAGGAGTCAGAAAACCTGACCTTGCTGTGCGACTTTGAGCACATTGCCCTGCCTCTCTGAGCCTGTTTCCCTGAATGAAAATGGGAACCTTAAGCAAGCTGCCTTCTCTGCCCACTGTATCCCAGCGCTGCGGGGGGAATCAGTATTTCATAAGGCTCTGTAGGGAGTAAGAGCGTTCATGTCCTTGTTGCATATCCCTTTGCTCTCCGCTTTCAGTGTCTAATACCAGAGTTTCTGCAGATGCAGAGTACGCTTTTCTCAGCAAGGGAGTAGGCAGATGAGTGCTTTGAACGGGAGAAACAGGCACTTAGGACATACTGACAGCTGAGTTCGGAGAAGGGAAGGGACAATCCAACATTTCTCCCTTTATGCTTGCAATTGGGAAGAGTTAGGAGCCAGGAAAGGTAAATGCTGTCATCTGCTGGTCATTTCCTGTGTAGCAGCCTCAAAATAAGAGTTCTGCAAACCTCTTGTGTAAACTTAGCTAAGGACCCAGGAGGGAGGAGGTGGCATTTGCTGAACGTTTACTGTTTATAAGGGACTATCTGCAAAGATGCTATAGAAGAGAGATAGGAATTAACCTTGGATGCTGCCAATAAAGAGGTCACGGCCGCCGGAGAGCTAGAGCCGCCTTCCCGTGCCTGTGTGCCTCGAGCACATCCTTCAGCCTCTCTGAACTCTGGGTTTCTCACTGGGTGCGTGGATTAGGATGGTCTACAAGCATCTGAAAGGAGGACCTTGAAAGAGGAAGAGAATGTTACAGACGGGCACTGAGACGGAAAAGAGGACGGGTCAAGAGAAGCCCTTGGAAAGCCTGACATGTGTCCTCTTCCCTTGTCTCCTTGTTTGTGAAGCTGTGGGTTAGGCTCCGGATCTCGAAGCATCTGTCCTCCTCTGACTTCTTTCTGCTCAGGGGAAGGGACAGAGGAGTTGAAAAGACTTCTCGAAGGAAGAATGGAACCAACACCTGTGTAGTCTCCGCCAATTTTAAGAAATGGAACCATATTGTTGCCTCTGAAGTCGTCTATGATATGAATATATTTTAATTTATTTACACATTCTACTGTGGAGGGCATTTGAATCGTTTCCTATTGTTTCCAGATTTTTTGCTCCCTTGGACATCCATGCGTGTATATTTCTGTCAAGTATATACTCAGGGGGTGGAATTGTTGGGTTATAGACCAGGTGCATTTTCAACTTTAGAGATAATTACAATTCATTATCCCAAGAGGTTGCCCTAATGGAAACTCACATTAGAAGTGTGTGCAAGTTCCCATTACTCCAAATTCACTGCAAGTACTCGATGCTCTCAGATTTTTTTACAGTTTTGCTAATTGGGTGAGGGTGAAATGGTGTTTTACTGGGTTTCCCCCAATTAATAACGAGCATGTTTTCATACATTCATTATTTTGCATTCCTTCTGTCAAATGCCTGTTTATTTCTTTGTCTGGTTTTCTCTTGTTTTGTCTTTTTGTCCTCATTAATCTGTAGGAGTTTTAAAATATATTTGAGATACAACTCTTTTATCATCTATGTATATTGGTAAATTTTTGTCCATTCTGTAGCTTGCCTTTCTACCTTCTTATAAATGTCTTTTGAAGACTAGAAGTTGTTAATGATAATGTAGTTGTACTAGGCAGAATCCTAGGATGACCGCCATGACCCTCATCCTGGTATAATGTCCCTCCACCAGAGTATGGACAACACCTGCGCATGTGACAGGTATCATTGGTGATTGTGTCACCTGTGGCAAAAGGAATTTTGCAGATGTGACTGTGGTAACTAATCAGCTGAGTATGAGTTAATCAAGTGGGAGATTAACCAGGTAGGCCTGACCAAGTCACATGGTCCTTTTAAACTTGAGTCTAGAGATCAGAAACAGAAAAAGTCGGAGATTCAAAGCATGGAAGATTTGACGTACCACTGCTGGCTTTGAAGAGGGAGGGGGGCTCCCTGGTGATGCAGGGTGGTCTCTAGGAACTGAGAACAGATCCTGACTGACAGCCGCCGACGACCCGGGGACCTCAGGCCTACAACCTCAAGGAGCTAAATCTGCCACAATCCCAAGAGCTTGGAAGAGGACCCAGGGTTCTAGATGAGATCACAGCCCAGCCAACACCTTGATTTTGGACTGTAGGACCCTGAGCTGGGGACCCAGCCATGCTGTGGGTGGGCTTCTGGGCTGCTCATCTGTGAGCCAACAAATGGGTGCTGAATTTGTTATGCAGCAGTAGGAAACAAATACAGTAGTTGTACTTATCAACATTTTCCTGTATTTATTTTACTTTCCGAGTTTAAGAAAACATTCTCTGTATACGCTGAGGTCATGAAGACACTCTGTTCTAGAATTATTCCAGCTTTGCCTTTTCACATTTATTACAACTTTTTAAAATTGATTCTCCCCCCTTGGTGTGAAGGAGAGATCTGACTCCATTTTCTCCCCATATGGATAAGAATTTGTCCTGATGCTATTAATTGACTAGTCCATCATTTCCTCATAGATCTGCAACTGCAGTCTGGTCATGAATGCGGTTTTTGAACAAAGGAAGGTCTGTGTCTGGCCTCTTTATTTCATGTCATTGTTAATTGGTCTGTCTTTGTAACAAACCCACGCTGTGTTAATTGCTATGGCTTTCTAGTAATTCTAGATGTCTGGTAAAGTACCCATCTTGTTCTTCAAGAGTGTCTTGGCTTTGGACTCTTCCAAATAAGATTTAAGATAGTTCATCAAATTTCATAGGACAACCTGTTGGGATTTTTGTATGAATTATAATATTATATCTATAAGTCAGCTGTGGGGGATTAGCATCTTTAAGGTACTGAATATTACAATCTATGACTATGGTCTATGTCTTCTTTACTTGTCTTCTTTAATATTTTTCCTAAAGATTTACACTTTTTTTCCACTCATACATCTTTTGCAAAATTTGTTTTTAGGCACCTTGTATCTTTTATTTCAACTATGAATGGCATCTTTTAAAAATGTATCTTTTCTGTTTGCTGCTGGTGAATAGAAATGCAAGCTCTTTTTATATTTTGATTGTGTATTCCGTGACCTTGCTAAATATTCTTACTCATTCGAATAGCTTAGTTGTAGATTCTCTTTGGTCTGATTTCTTCAATAGATATAGGACAATTTGGATTTGGTAATTTGTATCCTTCAAAGAAATGCATTTCATCTATATTGTCAAGTTTATTGACAAAGTAGTTTATAATACTCCTTTAGTATCTTTTTATTTTTTATTTTTATTTTTTTAAAAGATTTATTATATTTATTTGAGAGCGAGAGAGAGAGCAAGCAAGCGAGCATGGGAGGAGGCAGAGGGAGAGAAACTTTAGCAGATCCCATGCAGAGAGCGGAGCCCAAGTGGACTCTATCTCAGGACCCTGAGATCACGACCTGAGCCAAAACCAAGAGTCCAACACTTAACTGACTGCGCCACCCAGAGGCCCTCTTTTATTATGTTTTTAATATCTGTAGGGTTTAAATAGTGTCTTCTTTTTATTCCCGACACTGGTCATTTTTATCTCTTTCCTTGATCAGTCTTATCAGAATTTTTGTTTTGTTTTTGCTATAATTTTATCATGTATTTCTGCTGTGTTGTCCATGAGTTTTTGGTTTTGCTGTCTAGTTGCTCTGTTTACATGTGATGATTAGGGGAGATTTAAAAATGATGTCATGGGGCACCTGGGTGGCTCAGTCAGTTAAGCAGCTAGCTCTTGATTTCGGCTCAGGTCGTGATCTCAAGGCCCTGAGATCGAGCCTTGCCTCGGGCTCTGCGCTCAGCCAGGAGTCAATTTGAGATTCTCTCTCCCTCTGCACCACCCTTCCCTCCACCGCATGTGCACACGCTCTGTCTCTTTCTAAAATAAATAAACAAATCTTTTGAGAAATTAATAAAAATGATGTCATTTTATTAAATAATTAATTAATTAATAAAAATGATGTCAACCCCACACTTTGAGTTTTGAAGTATATTTCAATGGGTATAATTTTATGTTGGCAGATTTTTTTTACTTTCAACACTTTAAAAGTGTTATTCCATGGGCTTCTGGGGATGAAAACTTCTAAGTACCTATAAAATACAGTAAATCAATAAAGAATAAATTATTTACTCCAAGGAAATTTTTTAATGTACAAATTAGAAAAAATTATTATCGTGTACTTCAAGATATAATATATCCAGAATCTAATGATAACTTTTTAAAAATACAAATGCATGTTCTGTGTTTGGTTACCTCTAAGAGGACTGAAATACTACCTCACTCTAAAATATTCCAGGAAAACTAACTATGTAGAATAATTTTCAAAAATTTGGAAGGAGGGACTACATAACACTTATTACAGTGTTTTATCATTGTTCACTTGCTTATTTATATATATATATATATATTTTTTTTAAAGATTTTATTTATTTATTTGAGAGAAAGAGACTGAGAGACAGAGAGCAGGAGAGGGGGGAGGGTCAGAGGGAGAAGCAGACTCCCCGCTGAGCAGGGAGCCCGATGCGGGACTCGATCCCGGGACTCCAGGATCATGACCTGAGCCGAAAACAGTCGCTTAACCAACTGAGCCACCCAGGCGCCCCGCTTATTTATATTTTATTTTAAGCTTCTTGTTGGTAGGAAACATGTCTTTGTAATTATTTCCTTTTGGTGAAGACATTTTTTAAAAAGATTTTATTTATTTATTTGACAGAGAGAGACACAGAGAGAGAAGGAACACAAGTAGGGGGAGTGGGAGAGGTAGAAGCAGGGAGCCGGATGCGGGGCTCAATCCCAGGACCCCGGGATCATGACCTGAGCCGAAGGCAGACACTTAACGAGTGAGCCACCTAGGCGCCCCTTGGTGAAGCCTTAATATATTTTAAATAGCTTTGTGTCTTCCAGAAGTAGTATGTGCTGGAAACATGTTATTTCTTTATTGGATTAATGATAACATGAAGGTATTGAGATGATCATGCAAGGTGAAAGGGAACCAGTATTTCTTGAGCACCTACTGTGGGTCCATGATTACGGGAGTGTCTTGGAATTTGGGTGACATTGGGGATAGAAACCGGTGACGGAAATGATCAGAGTTGGCCTTCAAAGGCGGGGAACCTGCTATGTTTTGCTATGTTTTGCTGGCCATGGAGTATGTTTCACCCCACCTAGGCGTAACAGGGGAAGGGGCAGCCTTCACTGGTCAGGTGTGGGACTTAATGAACAAAAACCGTGTGAACTGTGCTGGTACACAGCATCAGGGTCCACATGGAGGATGTCTTAGACACAAAGTGCCTGGAAAAAAGAAGATTCAGGAGGACACAGCTACTGAAGTCTTTGAAGGGCTACTGTGTGGAAGAAGGAGCAGACTTGTGTGAAGGTCACAACGGTGTCCTGTGGGTGGAAATTAGAGGGAGACAGATTTTGATTCTAGCTTCTTATTAGAGCAAGCCACTTGTAAATAGGATGGATTACTTCAAGAAGTACTGAGCTCCCCATCTCTGGAAGTACACAAGCAGAACTTGGCTGGCCATCTGCTAGCTCACATGATTCCTGCATAAAGAGGGATGTTGACAACTGACTCTGGGGTCCCCAAGTTTTTGATTGAACCTGAGAGAGGCAGTCTCATCCCCTCGGGTTCTCAGCCAATTCATTCAGGCACTGAGATAGTCATTTTTTATTATTTATTTATTTATTTTTTAGAAAAAGGTTTTATTTATTTATTTGACAGAGAGAGACACAGCGAGAGCAGGAACACAAGCAGGGGGAGTGGGAGAGGGAGAAGCAGGTTTCCCATGGAGCAGGGAGCCCGATGAGGGACTCGATCCCAGGACCCTGGGATCATGACCTGAGCCAATGGCAGATGCGCGACGACTGAGCCACCCAGGCGCCCTGAGATAGTCATTTTTAAAAAAGATGTATTTATTAAGTTGAGAGAGAGAGAGAGATGCATGAATGGGAGGGGCAAAGGGAGAGGGAGAGAGAATCTCAAGGAGACTCCTTGCTGAGTGTGGAGCCCAATGGAGGGCTGGATCTCATGACCTGAGCCGAAACCAAGAGTTGGATGCTCAACTGACTGCGCCACCCAGGTGACCCTATAGTCATTTTTTATTTAATGGAAGATATTCAGACCAATGTTTGGCGGGGGGGAACACTGGCACATCTAGAAAGAAATACAGTAGGAGAAGCAGTATCTGCAAGGAGAGAAGAGGGAGAAGGGTTGTTGATGATGACCCAAAGCTTAGACACCAAGAGTCAAGAATATTCCATCTGGGCCAGATGTTTATACATCACTCTCGCTTAAGGACTGTATGGGTTAGGGTCTCCACAGGAAACAGAGTTGCCTCAGGTGACCCCCGTGATGATACTATAATAGATTACTGACAGAGATATGGGCAGGTGAGGGGAACAGGCAGGAAACGGAGAGGCTCCAGAGACTAGCCCCAGTGGGAAGGCTGTACCACCCCAGGCTGCTGGGATTGGAAGAGGAAACTGTGTTCTGGACCCCTTGAGAGCCGGGGCCACGGAAGAGGGGTCTCCTGAGGGAACTGTCATCATGGAAGTCACACCTGGTGATGGAGACATGCTGATAAGGAGGGAGGGGAGCCAGGGAGGAATAACCATGGGACTCGTTCCCCTGCCCTCCAGAAGCCCCCTGCGCCTCCCTTTGGTCAACCTGATCATTAACCAGAGGCAGAGGAGCCAGGAGGACTTGGTCTACAGGGGTGAGCCTCCCCGAGTGCAAAGCAGAAAGGGGAAGAAAGTGCGGGGAGGGGTGACAAACAGAGGATGACCAGAAGAAGGGCTCCTTTCCCTGCCCTTTGGGGCAGAGACTACAGGCTACCCCACAATCTTCTGGGCTGGAATGCAAACACCTCAGAAGATGAGGGCAGAACCCCAACAGGGCAGGAAAACTAGAATGAGTGAGCCTAGTCCCCAGACAAGGGTTGCTGCCCCAGCTCCCGACGGTGCCATTAGGATTGTCAAAGTAGCAGTGACTCAGAGCTGCCAACCTGGGGCCCCCACCCAAACTATTACAACCTTTTGTGGATTTTGAGAAGGACAGAGTCCCCATTTTCCAGGAAGCTTTAAGAGCTGACTGCGTGTTTTTACAGTGTGCCCCAGGGGCCTAGTCACCTTCTTACCCAGGACCCCCAGCCCTGCGACTGCTCAGAGCAACTATAACCTCGCACAGAGAAGCTCTCTTGCAGCAGAGGCATCCTTCCAGTGTTTTCTGCAGAGTGGGCTGGTGTCAGCCCTGAGCAGGGTAGGCAGACTAGGCCTGG